TCTATTCTGAGCACACCTAAAACAAATTAGACCTGGCTGCCGTTGCTTATTTGGCTCCCGTGCTCTCATTAAGGGGCTGAATCCAAGCTATTTTCCTCAAGGTCCTGCTTCCTACCATTTTGGGCCTTGTCTTTTATCACAATAGCAAAGGTTTCTAGGCAGCCATGCCACCTTTTCATCTCACCCATTTCATGTAGTCATATCAACACTGCACAAAGAACAGAAGGAGAGAGAGGGAGAGAAAGAACATCCCCTGACTCTAGGATTCTGTTTTCCTGCTCATGACTTGATGATGGCCTTTGACATTTGTTAATTGAAAGGAGGAATCTGTTCAACTGGATTTTTGTTTTGCCCTTTTTATGATTTTTTTCTACATGGTTATGCTTCAAATAGGAGATGTTGCTGCTTTTGGATTTTGCTTTGTCTCTGCAGTATTATGAACATAAAATATAGCAGTGCTGTTTAATTCAGTAACAACCCACTGAGCTGCCACTTCAAATCCTATTCTATGTTTCTGTAAAATAGTATAGTAAATGTTATTTTAGACATCTTTCTGTAAGTGATGGGAAATCTGCATTATTAAGAGTCATTCACAAAAAAAACTTGAAAGATAACATATACACACACGAGTGTACAACTCAAATCCAATGTTAAGTGTTAGACTGAGTAGTGTCTGAGAAGTGTTTCTGTCAGACTTCACTATACTGGTTAGACCTTTGTGCATAACATACGAAAAAATATATACTTACTTGACTTACGTCAACAATAAATTTAATTTAATTTAAATAAAACATACAAAAAATTTGAATAAACTTCACTTATAAACTTTGAAAAGACCTGAAAGGCCAATATTAACCTCACTGTGGTGCTACAGTGACAACATGTTTTGCTTTTAAAGATTATTAAATTATTTTAATGCAGGGTGTTACCATTTAGCCACTTGTTGGATGCTGAATACCAAGAACCTTAGAACAATGTAACCCAACCTAGGGGTTGGCACCCTGCAAAGGGTCCCAACATAAATCTGAATGTTCACAAGATAATTAACACAAAGTCATGCTAATTTTTTAACTTTTTCTCATGAAATACTGTCACCGCTCCAAGAAGGAAAATCACTATTTGGGAGAACTACCCACAAATCATGTCTACACCAAGGCTATAACCTGTGATGAGGAGTCAGAACTGGACACTGAATCATTTTAAGGGGCCACAAGCAAAAAATGTTGGCAAATGCTACCTCTGAAAATTATCAGAAAATACAGTATGGATGCCCTCACGCCATGTCAGTTTTAGTGCCACAGTGTTAATTAAGCTGTAAACACATGCTGGCAAGAATAACTTTTACATGTGCAGAATTTAAGAAAAGGTGCCTCTTCAAGAGTCTCTCTGCAGAAATAAAAGTAAAGTTGAGGTAAACAGGTGAGGTAAACAGAGGTAAAGACACAGCTTGCCCACATGCGAGTATTATTGCATTTGAAAGTTAATGAAGGACCTTTGAGCCATCGGAGCTCAAGCTATGCAAAGGTAACTGCTCGGGAAATGTTAGGTTAGATGAGATTCCTTTGCCAGACTAATCCATCCTGGAGCCTGAGAGCAGCACAGAGACAGAGAGAGAGAGCGAGCAGATTCTGCTGCAGAACAGCACAGCAGTGACACAGGGCAATTCTCTAGGGCCTTGCATTAGCGCGCTAAATTAAAGGGGGTATTAGATTAAATTGGCTCTCCGATTTCAGGGGTGTGAGTAAAATTCTGATTTGCATTTTCCACCGCTGCTTAAGATATAATTAGTTCAGGGTGATTCCCATGTGGAAAACACTGACAGCCAAATCTAACTGGCTGCCAGTAGCTTATCGTCTCTTCCAAGGCAAAAGGTACACTCAGCTCACGTTTGGTGTGTGCTTTTGTTTGTTTATGAGTATAGGTAAGAGCGTGAATGCGAGTGTGTGTTTGTGTGGATCTTTGCACGTGTGAGAGAAAGAGTGAGAGACAGAGTGTGCTTGCGTGTTACTGTTCACATGTGAGTTTGCATGCATGGACTGTGAATTCTCCTTCTAAACTCATTTCAGCACCTGATTCGTCACACTTCTCAATCAAATCCCACTGAACTGTAAGCGACCATTATCACCATCGACAAGGTGAAAAAAAGCAATCGCTCTTGATGTACGTATAAAAGTTTGTTGCATTAAGAGCACAACTTCACACCTCCAAGACGCCTTTAAACTCAAACCCATTTCCGCAGCAGAAGCACCTGTAATTACAGATGCAGAGTCAAAAATAACAATTACTGCTCGAGAAGTCCATAATATGAATTACTGAACTCAGTGAAGGAGCTTTTAAAAGCAAGTGTGGATTTGTTTGGGGGGTTTTCACACCCTTGGTAATTCTAACCGTCTTTGCAAATGGATGTTTTCCAAAAGTGCGTCTACCCATACATTATGAATGTGAGGCCAGCTTCCTGGACACCTGTTTGGGACACCTGTTAGATACATGGCGTCGGCATTAAATGAGCTTCCGATTGCAACCTCTGTGGTTTACAAGTCCAACCTATAACCCATAACCCATCAGTGACCCCCTTATTTAAACTCTTAAACCCTGTTTTCCCACAATTTCCCCTGCAAGAAGCAGTCTTCAGCACTTTATGAAAAGTCTCTGTCAGCTTGTTCTAACACTCACTTTAAGATACTGTAAAATATATTAAATTAAATATTCAAAGCCATCAAACTATGGGTTTTATGGCTGCACCATTGGCTATCATTTTCTGTCTTCTTAAAAGTCAAATTTTCTTAAAGCAAGTGAAATATAGTGAATATTTCTACTTTTCTCAATGTAAATTACCTTGTTTCAGGTCATTTTTAAAATAACGTAGATTTTTTCCTGATTCTAGTGCACTGACCTGTCTTACTCTTCTTCTTTCCAATTGATTTCTACTGGAAACAGCCTGAAATAATATCACTGCACTGGCAGATGTTTTCACATGTTCTTAAAGGTCCAGTGTTTAATATTTAGGTGGAACTATTGGCAGAAACAAAATATAATGTGCAACTATGGTTTCATTAGTGTATAATCACCTGAAAATAAGAATTGTTTGGGGGTTTTTTTACTTTACAATGAGCCTTTTTTATCTATTGAACCACCATGTTTTTACAGCCCAGAACACACAAACCAAACACTGGCTGTAGATAGGGTCTTTTGCGTTTTTCAGAGCCACCTTAGTTGCACTTGGAAGGGGAGGATGAAGCGAGGGAGGTATAATCTTAAACTACAGTTAAATCCTAAACACTGGTCCTTTAAAAAAATAATAATAATTTTAGAACTGGTCTAGATGAATATTTTTGCAGTGTATAAATGTTTACCTCCAAATTTATCCTGTTGCGAACTTTTGGAAACTTTGGGATCTTAACAAGAATTTTGAGTAAAGCTCTGTAGGTTTGAACAGGTGCTTGTCTGCACAACATGTGTTTGTAATGACAGTGCTGCTTTTGGGGTTAAAGAGTTAAAAAAAACCCAGACCTAACTTAGTCTCTCAATTTCTGTTTTAGTTGCAAAGCTTTTGATGCGTGGGACTCAAAATCATTAAAAGTTACTAAAAATATTAGCTGTGGATGGCAAGGTGTCAAACCACAATCGAATTCATATGTCACAGTAGATCGTAGAGTACATGAGATGCAAATGATGAGAATCATATGAATAAGTAATAATAGGTTACGTCACATGAAGCTCCTCAACACTACTCGGTCAGGAACAAGCTTCAACATTTGCATTCAGGTACCATCTTACTGTGAACCCATACATAATTTCCTGATCACTCAGAACGTTGATATGTACATTACATAGCATAAGAAAAACACACCTAAATGAACTTACAGTATTATCTGCAAAAATTAAATCTATCATAGATTCAAACAAGAATAAGACAAACTAATGGCCCAATTTCATAATGGAATAAAAACAATATGAAGGAATCCATACATGGTGTTTATCCATGAGTAGATTAGGTAATATTTTATAATTAACCTCTTTTTCCTCTCTGTGTAATTACTTAATTAATGAGCAAATCATCTGGCCCTCAGGTTGCATTTGTTGGTGACTCATCCACACAGGCTCATGTTAAGTCAGTGAGCAAGTTCAAACTCTCAGGGTAAAGAGAACCATATTTGCAACTTAACATTCATATTCCGCCTTTACCGTGAACCAAATGTCAGCTACAAAATAATTCAATTAAAATGAACCTTTAAAAAGCAACACTGCCCTCTGATTGTGTCCTAATGAAGCCTTTTGCTGCTTGTCAATTAAGCCAAACTTGCTATGTTTTTCTTTTTCCTAAGTGACAATGTTTCTTCCTGCCTCTGCATCCTTCTTGATATGTAACATGCCCCAGATTGATCCGTAATTGGACATAATGACACAAATATAACATAAAATGATTTCATCTCAACGCTACTGTATATGCACAATCAATTCATACAGGGCCAGTGGGAGAGGATCAGTCAGCATGGGTGCTACACTCCCCTCCCCACACAAAACTTGTGGGATGTTTTGAGACACACCATCAGCAGCCCTGCCATCACTCTCACCATCTCTTGGTGGTCGGAGGCTGAGGCTTTGTGGGATATTGATTCTCCCCATCCAGAGACGGTTTCCATAATTGGTTAAAATGACCGGGTGCAGAGAGGGATGGCTCTCTGCTGAAAACCATTTCCCAGCCCTGCTTGGAGCTGAGCCAAGCTCGGGGTTGTTCGGATGCGTTCCAGCCCCAGCCTGACTGGCAGCAATTAGGGGTGTCTGAGCCAAGCTCAGCTTGCGCTCCACACAAACACCCCTAATTACTGCCAATTAGGCTAGGCGGGTAGGCAGATTTGAGAAGCCGGGGGGATGTTCAGGCATGGGTGGGCATGGAAACAATTTTCAAGGGCTTAGAACGTGACTGGATGAAAAGGTTAATGCTTTGGAGTGCAAGGGGATAATAACAAAAGAAGGGGAAGCAGAGCCCCGGTTCTCACCTCCAGCGACGAGCCTGGCTTCTTCTTCAGCTCCTCGCATTTCCTAAATTTGCAGATCTGGTGGCCCGTTTTGCGGTTCCGACAACTGCTGCAGACACCACAGTTGATTAGCCGCCTGCAGGGTGCACAGACCCCACACCTTTTCCTTTTCTTCTTCGCTGGGTTTCCACTGGATACCGAGGAATTATTCTGTGGGCAGTCTGCCAGATTGGCAATTTGAAACGCACTGTCTGTAACGGCTGCTGAGGCTGCGGGGGAGTGAAGGGCTGTCATGACGATGACCCCGGGAGGTAATGAGATGCCCCCTAAAGCCGGGATAGCGGAAAAAGTTCCAACGCGTTCTGGGAGATTCATTATCTCTGCTTCAGCAGCGCCGCATTTCAGCTTGTTCATGCATTCTCCTGCTAAAGGTCTGCAGTGTTCGGGGGATAAGGTAGAGAGGAAATTATTATTTGCCATTTGCAGCGTCTCTGGCGGCACGCCAGGCTTCCCCGGCCTCTGGGAGTCATTTCTATGCATGCTGGTCCTATTAGGGTTTATTGCCGCTGATTTCCTTCCCCAGAGCATGGCGTTATCGCAGTTCCAAGGGGACATGCCAATTCTGGCACTGGGAAAAATGGGCGTTGTGATGCGGGCAATCTTAGCAGTCTGTGGAAATGCCCCATTGGTTTTATAAAAGTTTGCAAAAGACCTGTACCTTTCCATTTCTGCGTTATAATCCAAAAGCTGGCTTAATCCACCATCCTGAAGGTTATCCTTTTGTAAAAGAGACACATCTGCGTTCTGTCCGTTTTCAATGCAAAGCGCATTGTTTAGGTTAGACATGGCTGAGGAATGGCTGTCAATGTTTCGGAGAAGAGGGTGAGGTTACAGTGGCCTTTGTCGAACTGAAGCTGGTTACGAACAGTGTGTTACCATCCTGGTGTATCTTCTCCAGTGCTAAAAGCAAAAAAACAAACAAAACAAAAACAAAAAAAAACAACAACAGTTACACATAAAAGAGGCAAATGTTTTCATCCTAGTCAGATTTCATTTCTCTGCTGCAACTTTTCTCTTAAGATAAGAGCTGAACATTTGAAGGATCTTCTGGCACATTGTTGACGCTCATGCGTTTTATAATGGAACTATCACAAATAGTCAGAACTGATATTCTTCTGGTGACAATAATGTGATAGCTTTGACAGACCATCATGTCATTATTATAATGGGGGGGAAAATTAGCATGCTTCAAAAAAAAAACAACAACAACACTTTCCACATTGTTTAGATGTCTTGTCAAAGTATTTTTACATATTTTTTAAAGAAAGTCCAATCGGCTACTTCCCAGAATGAATAAATACATTTTAATATACCAGAGTACATTTCATCAAAACACAGACATGTAATATTCAATCCGAAATATCACTATTTTGAAAAGTTAGAAGAGAGCCTCACAAGAATTCAGATTATGACAGCAGTAGCTACAAACACAGAGATTTTTTTTTTCCTTTTTTTTTT